AATAACAATATATATTCTGTGACAGTGATTGATCACTCATTACATCATGGGAAAGAAGAAAGTTGCTATTCGCTATGTACTTGCTGTTGGAATGCCACATTACGGTAGCTCACTACCATTGGGTACTTCACATCTCTTCGCCGAGATTTCTAGAATCTTCACGATAAAGACACAGTTGCCGTGACTTTTCGTGGAAAGAAAGTTTAAAACGTGATGCAGCACGATTATTGGCAAAAATAATGGACTTGAATTTAGCTGCTGGTGATTGTTACTATCTTAAACCAAAGTCAAAAGCATTCTCACACTCACCGAGGGTCAGTGTTGCGCAGTTTTGCAACATTGGGTTTCTTGCCAATGATCAGGGGATTCCAAAAATTCAAGATAACCTACGCAATTGCTATTTGATGTCAATATCCCATAACGTCTTTCATGACATGTTCAAACCAAACGGCCAGTTTCAGGGCCACCACATCTGCTGGGAGTATACCAATTACCATGTTATATTTTCGTTATTTTTACCGAGAAAGATGACACTGGGTGACATTATAGTGAAATTTTAGGTGGTCTACTTTTTAATTCAGGTGTCTTGGGAAGCCTGCTGTGCGTAACTGTAGCAACTAGTAAAAATGTATAAAATTTTAGTTTAGCTTCTGCAATAGTTTCTCTCGTCTTGGGTGGTCCAACTGACAACGTGGAAAGTCAGGATTAGTTAATTTTTCAATGAAAATAGAAGTCCCAAAAAAATATTAGATGATCATTTTTTTGAAATTTGAATCCCCCAAATAAGCGCCCACCAGCTGTGAAACCACCCAGGGCGATTTTTCGGATTGGTGAATATACGATAGAATCCGGTACTAATGCATTTACAAAAAGAAAATATATTTTTAAATATAACTACAGTAGTGTATTCAATGCTAACAACAGACAAAAGAACTAGAGCCAAGTCACTACATACCAATATCATTCTAATAAAATTTTCTCTCAATACCACAATATATATATAATCATACATAAATCATGAACTGCAGTTTACTTTGTTGCATTCCTAAATATATACATAATCAGTATCTCCCTACAGATGTGCAAATAAGAAAAACAAAATATGTCGACCTGAAATAATCAGAGACAATGTCATTACATACCTGTCTTTGTATTACTGTAAGTCCCCCTGATGACTTGATACTGACTGTCTTTACATGACTACACATCTGTGATTCCTTGGTTTTCTCATTCACCGATATGCCAACAGTGTTGGTTGTCATACTAGTCTGTAGCCATGGTAACACAGGAGTACTTTGAGATGACGTAGGAATAATTTGACCAGAATCAGGTTTTGGACTTGATGGAACACTGTGTGGTAGGACTGACGCTGAGGTAGCAGCAGGGAGAGTGTTGGTGCTGGGTTTACCTTGTATTGAGTAATAGTCACTGAAAAAAGAAAACATCCAGAAAGTAAACAACAAATACAGTACTAGTACCAAGGTACTTGTCTCTAATGCACTAGATAATTGTTGTACAATTAGTAAATAAACTGTGGCTTGCCCGAACTATGACAAATTGTGTACAAAATTATTACATTTATAATGGAGTATATCCACAACGATTAGGCAAATGAGCCAAAAAATAACATAACTTGGCTGTTATGGCTGCCAGAATTTCACTGAAACAAAAATAAACTTATTTACAGGGGCAGACCATTATTTCTTGGCTTTGTACTATGTCTAAACACAGTCCCTCAACACCCAGTTAGGAAACGCTATAATTGTTCTAAGGTGTGAATTAATCACCTGAATTCCGTGTTGAAGTGCGTGTTGTGCTTGTGGGAAGACAGCAGTGACATCATAGCATTTTCTTTGAGCTCATTTGAAGCACTTTTGTTCTGTGTTATGTCTACAAATATTCCATTTTTTTAAGCAAAGTCGGTAAATTTTATTTAAAGGTACAAGTCTCTGTGTGATCATATCGGTTTTGTGAAAAGGCATGTGTAGTTTAAAATCCATATTCATTATAAATAACGAATTTTTGTTTTTTTATTTCAAATTGTTGCTGCCATGTTCATTCATTATTAGTGTATGCGTTACGGCAATAATACCACGAAAGTTTCAACCCTGGTAAATCACGTTACCAACCCAAAAACAAACAGTCGTTATTAATTTGTAATTTGATACTTTTGGGCAATATTTTGTACCTTGTGCATAAGTGCCAGAAAGGTGTTCATTTCAGTCGTTCATTTTGCATTTGTTTTTGCCGTGTTGTATATGAATCAAGACGACTGTGTCGCTAACAAAAAATGTTATTCCATGAGAAATAGGAACAACAAAACCTTAAACAAGAGTTGGCAGAGCCATCTCGATGCTGGGAAAATAAGAGCTTGTTTTAATGAAAAGTATACATGAGGGTACGTGTTATTATTTATTTATTTTGGAAGCTCAATTTTTAACTGAAGGAATTAAACTAAATTAAATATTCATGTTTGTTTATTTTGAACCTTAGAAATGAGTACTGTTCAACTCCGGACGTTTAATTGTACTTAGCGTATGTTACTATGACAATCAACCAATTCGAGAAAAACAGTCGACATGACTAAATGCAAGGCCACAGCAAAATCGATGTTTCATTGAAATAAAAAAAAAAATAGAGAACTCTAAGACAGAAAGAGAAACACGAGTGATGTAATCGAACAAAAGGCATTACGGCAGCCACGTTTGTTTCATTTCGATCAATACAGTATTACCCACGATGCACTATTCCCATAAGCGCGAGTATGTGGAAGTTTATAGCCAAGCGTACAGTGGTCAAGAACAAGGTAAGAAATTATGTGACAGATCAACTCGATTTGCCGCCAATTTCCGGGTTCGGGTGCGTTTCATATAATATATATATATAATAATATTATCACTTTTCAGTCCTTGTTGAGGCACAAACTTATTCAAATGAGTTGGTAAACAAGAGACGATGGCAACTCCACGTTGTAGCAGATTTACACACTACTACAGTTCGACTAAAGTTAACAAACACCTTGGTCAGTCACACAAAGTCCCCCAAATTCAAAAGGGATTTTTAAATGTGTTTGGAACACGAGACGAACAATTGTGCATACATAGATGACGACTCTACGTTATGAGGCAGCGTGAAAATAACAATCTAAAACTTTGCTTGCAGATTTCCTGGGGCAGATTCACATAATACTACAGTTCGAAATACGTTCACTTTTATCAATAACTGAAATAAACACAAAGCCCAAACTATCAGAAAACACATAATTAGAGTGATGGTTTAACAAAATAACTTATCATTTGTAAATTCAATCCATTGAATCAAAGAAAGCTTAGAAAGAACTCCCGTGTGCTGAGAGTATTAGAGACATAGTAAAAATTAATTCAAAATTACTTGTACTTGATGATAATGATGGAAAGGCTGAAAACTAATTATGCAAATCCGAAAATTAAAATGAACAGATTTGCGTGTAAAACTAATTAGGTCTGCGCAAAGTAACATCTATGTACCAAGTTTCATTTAAATTATGAATTATTATGCTAATTAGAGATTTCAACCCAAAAACTGATCATATTTGTACATTGTCCTAGAGCATCTATGTACAAAGTTTCAATGAAATGGGATGATTAGTACTTAAGATACCAGTATGAAAGTTGAAAACTGATTAATTATGCAAATTAAGTGATTAATATGCATAAATATATACCAACAACTAATTGGCTCTCTGCATAGTTTATATTCATTTAAAGGTGATGATTAGTGAAAAAGCTGAAAATTAAATAATTATGCAAATTAGGTAATATGCACAATTATTTACACCAAAACTAATCAGATCTCTGCATAGTTCTAGAGGACCTATGTACAAAATTTCATTGAAATGTGATGATTAGTACTTGAGATATATGTGAAAATTCGAAAATTAACTAATAATGTAAATTAGGTGATTAATATGTACTAATATTACCCTAAAAACTATCAGGTCTGTGGAGTGTCCTATGACATCTATGTACTAAGTCTCATGAAATGTGATGATTAGTAGTTGAGTATCAGTGGCAAAGCCGAAAATTTACAAACATTATGCAAATTAGGTAATTATTATGCACAGATTTTCACCCAAAACTAATCAAAGCCTGGTATTAGTTCAGATCATCTATGAACCAAGTTTCATCAAAATTCAATGAGTGGTTCTTTAGATATCAGTGGAACAGTCATGGAACAGCTAAAACTTAGCTAATTATCATGCAAATTAGGTAATTATTATGCACAGATTTTTACCAAAAACTAATCAAATCTGTGCATTGGCCCAGAGTATCTATGCACCAAGTTTCATCAAAAACCGATGTATGGTTCTTGACATATCAGTGGAATAGACACACACACACACACACACACAG